ACGCTGGCCTTGTAATCCTGGGGTCTCGGGTTCGATTCCCGGCGGTGCCCGAATTTTTAACTTGTGTTGGGCAAGGCCGTGGCCTAGGCAACACGGAGTTTTCCTCATTGGCATCCCAACAATTACTCCATTCACACATAGAAGAAGGCAATGGCAAACCACTTTTGGATCATCTGCCAAGAACGTATATGAACAGGTCCCAGTCCGAGAAAAGGATGGAAGGATCCTGTTCATATGGACCTGTCGTCAGACAGAACACTAAATAAATAAATAATAAAATGATAAATGACAAAACACTCAGGGTGAGTCCTGGCTTCTTTGGACAAGTCGTCTTATTCTTTCACTATTACAAGGTACACAAAATCTTACCATGAAAACTAGGAAAGAACCAGTGGAAAGAAAAGGCTTGAATGATACGCTGACAGCCTCAGTTTGACTCCAGATCGCGTAAAGAATTCGTAAAATACGTGGCGGGCTCAGACCGACATAGGACCGCAAAGGATTAAATAAACATATTCTTTTTATAATTAAATCGTTTATAATGCACACAGTTTGATCTGTTACACTACACACAAATCTTTATTTCTTCATTCTATGCAATTGCTCACACGATTTTAAATCAATTTTTTTAATTAATAAACTGAATGCATTAAAATGTGTTATGAATACGTATCTGCAGTAAAATTATTCTATAAATAATGTGGTACCTTGCACTCGGCTCTATCTTCTGCTGAAGCATGATTGTTCGTAACTTTGAAGCACTGTTGGTTCACATTCAGCCACGAAGCCTTGGGCCACTTTGTAAATGCATTTGAAATGGTTCTAACGTGTCAGAGTAATCTTGTGGATAGTAATCTTCCGGGGTTGTGTTAGAAGACTTTTAACCTCGATATGGAGGCAACACATTTCTTTGAAACATTTCTAACAACCTACGAGACTACGTAACATCACAATCCAAAGACCACTATCGACATTTTTAATATTATGAAAATCTACGTGATATTATCACAATAATATTTTTCAAAAAACATATTTTTCTTAATTTTAAGTGAAATGTGAATAGTATATGTTATAATCGCATGTTTTTTTAGAAAAATCAACTTCATTGCTGGCAGATATTAAAGTTATCCTTTAGCGAAAAAAAAAATGTGGTACACATCTGAAGTAATTTAAATAATTACACTTTTGTTGGTAACTATCCATAATTCATGCCGTGATCACACTGTGACGTCCATCTGGCTTCGAATTAAATAATTTTATAATGAATTAAATACATTTAAAAAAGTTTAGGCTATTATCTGAAAAATACATAATTTTGTTTGTCCTGTTTTTTTATCTCAATTTTATCTTTATTATTATCAAAAGCTGTTTAGTAAGAAAAATTGTTTTATGTGGTAAGTTCTTAGCCATTATACTTCAAGGTTTTGCATAGCTAATTCACAGTGATTTAGGTGAAATATATGGAGGTTTGTAAGATCTGAAATTTTCACGACGATTAAGTGTAATAAATTCTTCTCGAGCTACCAGCTATGTAAGCCATCTTACATGGCTAACAGCCCAAGAATAATTTGTTATATAGGCAGGTCTGTAAAATACCGGAAACTATCGGTTTACGAACGAGTTCCGTTCCAAGACGTTGTTCGTTGTGTGAATCTTACATTCCTGAGCTTTTACGATACGTATCGTATACGTAGTAAACTTTACTGTCTTAGACAGTGGTATTCAACCTTTTTTTGTTCGCGTACCCCCAGATATAATTTCTCTTCAACTTTGTACCCCCAAAGTTGTTGGTGTATAATTCAAGTTATACATATATAATCTACATCTAAAATAAATTAAATAAATTACATTACTGATTATTCAGTGTTTATCATAAAATAATATATATATTTTTTAAATTTCACGTACCCCCTAAGATGTCTTCGCGTACCCCCAGATATAATTTCTCTTCAACTTTGTACCCCCAAAGTTGTTGGTGTATAATTCAAGTTATACATATATAATCTACATCTAAAATAAATTAAATAAATTACATCACTGATTATTCAGTGTTTATCATAAAATAATATCTTTTTAAATTTCACGTACCCCCTAAGATGTCTTCGCGTACCCCCAGATATAATTTCTCTTCAACTTTGTACCCCCAAAGTTGTTGGTGTATAATTCAAGTTATACATAGTATATAATCTACATATAAAATAAATTAAATAAATTACATTACTGATTATTCAATGTTTATCATAAAATAATATATGTATTTTTTTAAATTTCACGTACCCCCTAAGATGTCTTCGCTTACCCCCGGTTTAAATCCACTGGTCTAAGATAACATAGGCAAAGAAAGTGATGATCCTATTATATTATAATAAGGTGAATCACCGATTTTTTTCCTACGAGAATACATTCTTTTCGGCGTGGCATGTATACCAATTTTTTTTACTGGCTATATTATTTTTAATATCCAAGAACAGTTCAGTATAATTATCAAATAATAATTTTCTGATAATGTAATAAATAAATTTTTAAAAGTTTATTTATTTAAATCTTACAATTATGTTCACTATACGTTTAGCATTTCGTTTTATAAAAAACTCTATCTATTGGCGACTTTAAGAAATTTTGAATAAATTGTGACGTTCGTTATATGGAATGTTCGTAATGATTTAGACAAAATTTGCATTTTAATAGAGAGATCACACAAACATTTGAAACGCGTGGTATTAAAAGTGGTCCAAGACTATCTAACACGTGTGTCTATCACAATAATATTTCGAAGGTGGAATCTCCTTTCATTACAACCAATACAATGATGAGTTGAATGTCTTCTTTACAGATGTGACCAAGATTCATCTACCGTACAAGTAGACCACACTTGTCCTAATAACTTGAAAAGAAGTTGTCAAGTAGAGCCTTACAGTGTTGAGGAGAGAAAATTAAGAAATTTTCCCTCCTTCTGGGAAACTGAAGTGTGACATTGAACACATACATACATTATTTTAAACTATGCTTTTAAATATAAGTTCCAAATTATTTAAAATAGATTCAAACAATGGTTTTAAAATTTCTATGTACCTTCTGAAAACTGGATAATTTATATAAAAATACGAATTTTAATCGAGAAAATGTTGGACCAGTGTCATTTTGATGTAAATATCTCAGTATTGCCTCAATAATATTAAATATATTTACAGTCGTCAAATCTAATTTTTTTTTTTGAAACCATTGCATTGGATCCTCAATAATATTAAATATATTTATAGTCGTCAAATCTAAATTTTTTTTTTTTGAAACCATTGCATTGGAGGAAACACGTAACAATTTAAAATTTCACTCACGTGCTCGATTATAGCTGACATTTTCAAGGAGTCTATTTCTACATTTATGCTATTTTACGAGTACAAAATTTACAAGTTACTAATTCGTATTAATTGATGTTTTATAAACAATGTGAATGTCTGTATTTTGTGTTTATCTGCATTTATATATTGTTGGAATGTATGCAATGTTTACTTGCCGATCTGTAATCGACACTTACACTGCACCTTGTATCGTAAATTTAAAATAATAAATTTAAGAGCATAACCCAGTTTCCTTTGCTTTTCTGATTGCACTGCTTATATTGTTAACACACGCTTTATTTTCCCTGC